ACAACCGCCACAACCGGAAGAGTGAACGTGGTTCTTAAGCCTCCTCTTGGTTGGTTTTGAATCAGGGTTTTTGAATAACTCCCCAACTCACCGAGTTCCCCAAGCAGGGAGCCTAACAGGACCTATGTAACCCAGTCTCCCGGTTAGGGTTTTCATACTATCATGCCAGGTCTTAGCGTAACCACCCTGGGCTTTGTTCTATCCGCTACCTGCCTTGGCAAACATCGCTCTCAGTGGAAATCCATCTGGTGACGTGCGTAACACGTTTCCCAACCAATGTAATCTATGGAGGTCGACCACTTGCTCCATTGAGCAACCGCGGTTGTCTAAAGCTTTGCACCTGACCTCAGCATTGCTCGTCCGGCTGCCCCATCAGATTGGTGCAATGCTACGTAGATAGCCGTATTCAAACACCGACAGTCTATCTTTATCCTGTTTTCTTGACGGCCAAGTTTCTACTTATTATATCAGAACTGGCTGAACTGCTCTAAACTTCACAGAAAGCCGGATGTCACGACGGCGCCACAGATGCCTCAAGTTGGTAAATACAAACCCAGCTTTCTGTATGCGAGCTGACACTTCGTCCGTGATGCGTCCACCGAGTGAGATGTAGCTGCTCACAAAAGAAAATGTATCCACTTGCTCTATTACTTTTCAATTAGACCGAGACTCGGTGCTGGACCGACCCAGTCTTGTAGTAGCATTTTACACTTTGAAGGTGCAAAACGCGTACCGAACATGGCTATGCTGACATTCAAGCTACCCAGGATAGAACAATTTCGTCTGTATACTCTAGATCAGAGAGTTTGCCTCCTGGGGATAAATCAATGTCCCTATTCTCGCACGAGGATAGGGCTGTTTCCATAATCAAATCTATACCAAAGACAAATAGAAACGGAGAGAGAGGGCACACCTGATAAACACTACTTTCTGTGGTGAAGTCGGGTGAAAAAGTGCCGTAAGCCCGGACTCGACTTCAGCTATTAGTATAAAGCGATTGTAATATTGAAATAAACTTCTCGGGCACACCCTTCAAGGAAAAGCAGCATCAGAGTTTACAGCCGTCGACTGAGTCGAAAGCCGCTTTCAGATCCAGGAAGATAGAGATGGTGGATTTACGAAAAGAATGCCGGTGCTCCAGAGTTTGGCGCAGAGTGAAGATGTGGTCGATACAACCTCTACCAGGTTTGAAACCAGCCTTGTTCTCACTCGTGTACTCTACGAGCGCGGTAGACAATAGATGGAGTATGATCCCAGCGCGAAGTTTAGAAGCGATGTTGATTAAAGTACTTTATCTGTGGTTTTCACAAGAGGACCTGTTGTATTTCTCGTAAATCGGCATGGTGACCGATTCACACCATTCCATGGGAACATGCTCCCGCTCCCACACTGA